CCCTAGACACCAGCTCATCTAACCTGCTTCGAGATTCTCCATCCCTGTGACTGCATCAGATGGAGCTCAGCTCCTGCGCAAGCTCATGGCTTCCCTGCATCAGTGTGAGTGGCCGATGCTTCTGGTAGAAAGCACGTTCCTTTCTGACTTGGTGAGAGGGGAGACTCCTGAAAGTCGCTAGGGTCTCATCCTCAGCAACTGTGGTGCTCAGTGTCACTTCCTCAATTAGGAGAGACTGAAGAAGGAATAGGTTTGCTGAGGGAGTGACATGAGGAGTCAAAAGCCTCATCTGGAGTATGTGGAGGTCAACTTGTCTGCTACACATCCAAGGGGGGATGTCAGATAAGCAGATATGCAGTTCAGGAGCTCAGTGAAGAGAAATAAATACCTGTTAACCAACAAATATTTTTGATGAGTTCTCCTGCACCGGGAGCTGTTCCAGGCATGGTGATATGGCAGTGAACAAGGTCATCCTATTCTCGCCTCCAGAGCTGGCCGTCTGGTGGGAAGAATAAGACAATACTCAAACTCAACAGTGAATCATGATTTAGAGGACTGCTGCCTTATGGAGATATGCTGCGGAGAAAAATTAGGCAGGGAAGGGAGGTATGCGGCCCAGGACATTACAAAAGATTATTTCATGTCAAAAAACACCTTTCTACTACTAAGTGCACATTTAACTTGTGTCACAAAAAAAGGTCTTAAAAGAGCAAGGGATTTGCAGTGTTTTCAGCTCACCTGACACCTGAAAACCCTCCTTGCTGAACCGCTACCTGCCCAGGTGTGCATTGACGTGCCAGACCCAGCAGGCTGAGGGGTACAGGTGGAGTTAAGGAGGAGCTAAGGGGCCTGGTTTGTTTCGCAGTTTTGTGCTTTGGAATGAAGTAGTTTCACATGTGGAAAAAAAAAAAACTGGGAATATTGAATTAAGAAAAACTGGGGAGCAAGTTCTAAACACTACTGAGAAGAAGATGATCCCTGGGAATGCTAAAGAGAATTTGAGCGGTGGGCTGTTCCTGCAGTCAGAGTTAAGCATTGTGAGTTGGCAGAAGCATCAGGCGGGAAGGGCTGAGTCTGTGTGTGCAGGAGGAATGCGTACAAGGGGAAGTCGCAGGCTCTGTCCCTGTCTCAGTTGGTGGGAGTGGCAGAGATGCCACAGCTGTGGACAAGACTACGGCTGGGTGAAAAGTGAGACTCTCTGGATTTGCCATACTGACTGAGAGCTGATATCTGAAAAGTGGAGCTGAGAACAGCAGCCTGGGCCACTGTGGGCAGTGGCTGGAATGGAGATGGCCAACTCCTGCCAAGGTGGCCTGAGAAAGACGAGGTTGGAGACCAGGACAAGGCCCCGGGTGGGTGCCAGCGGGTGTCAGTCCTGAGAAGATAGGCACAGGAACACCATGGACACTGTTTATTCCCCCAATTAAATAGCCCAAAAATGTGCCATAAGCTGTCCTTGCAGTGAACCAGTGATTCTGCCCAAACCATCACCACCAACACACCCAGGTCAACTCCAGCACAGGAAGTCACATGGCCAGAAAAGGGCCATCAGCCACATCGGCGCTGACACAGTGTAACACATTCTTCTGCCGCCTGCTTGGGAATGTACCTGCAATGCACCATCAGAGCCACACAGTGTCCCTGGCATGTGCCTGGAGGTTGCTCCGGGTCTGCAGATGCTCCCCGAGACCTGGCCACAGCCTGTCTCACTTCCTTTCCATTCACTTCTATATGGGATTCATGCCAAAGTGCCAGCACCCATGTAATGATTAGTGACAAGCCAATGAATTTTAAAAATAGTAGCTATGTTAAGATTTATATAAGTTAAAAAGTATTTGCTCACATTTTATTTAAAATTTTGTTCTTACAAAATTACTGTCTCAGTTGGAGCTGATGGTGCAGTCTGCTGTTCTGCAAGTACATAAAAAGTAACCTGGGCCCTGCAGAGGGGACACAAGCATCAGGGCCAGGTACACAGCAACAGGGGTATTTGAGCTGGGTCTGCAAGGATGACCTAGATGGCCAGGAGGAAGAGCTGTGTGCGTCAGCGGAAAGCACATGTGGTGAGGACAAGAAGGGGAAGCCACAGCATCCCAGTGCTGTCCAGTGTGGTCTGTGGACTGGGCATGTTGGAAGAGGCAGGGAGGGCTGATGTGTGCTTTGAGGGAGGACCAGGCAGCCAGCAGTGGAAAGGACAGGGTTAAGCCAGGCAGGGGTCATGGATACAGGCAGTAAGGAGCATGCACCAGGGGCGCTTGGAAAATGAACCTTAGAGAATGCAAGGCCTGCGGAGGACTCCTGGGTTCCTGGCTGGGGCACTGCCTGGGCAGGGAAGGCAGAGAAAATGGAGAGCCTGGTCTCAGATGGTGTCAGAACCTGGCATCCGCATCATCACGATTGCAGGAACAGCAGCGTCCCAGTCCCTGGGTGTATCAGAGCCCCCAGGCCACGTGGAAGTGTGAGACCTGCTGGGCTGCAGGGGAAACAATGGATATGGGGTTGGAGGCCTGAGAAGACCCACTGCAGGAAAAGGGAGGAGCGCGAGAAAGGCAGGCTGGGGGCAGTGACTGACCTTCAACCAAAGCATTGTAGAAAGGGGAAAGCAGTCGAAAGAGAAGTATTTCTTCCAAGAGACTCATCGGCACACTGTGTTTCCAGAGGCGTCTTTCTGTTAACAGCCTTCTTAGACTCCAAAGTAATGTAGATATACTTTAAAAAACAAAAACACCTTGCTAAGAGATGAAATTTTAGAAACTTGCTGGGCAAACAAAAGTCACTGATAGTCAACTGCTTTGAGAGGCAAGCCAGGAAATGATGATGTATACCCTCAAATTATAATAAAACCCATGCCTCATTAGGGGCTCGCCCAGGAGTACTGACTTGAGGACACCATCTGGGGAGAACTCTGTTGCCTGTGTCAGGCTGACGCTCTTACCTGTTGTAGCCCCTCGTAGGATAGTGCATGTTGAGAAGAAGCCACTTCACATCATCGTGGTGCGGGGTCTGTGGTGTGGTGTGCTTCACATGTGTGTTTTGTGTGTGTAGTGTGTACTATGGTGTGTGTGTGGCATGCATGTAGTTTGTGGTGTGTGTGCAGTGTGTGTGATGTGTATAGTGTGCATGTAGTGGTGTGGTGTGGTTTGTGTGTGTTTTCTGTGTGTAGTGTGTATGTAGTGTTTTGTGTGTTGCATGTAGTGTTTTGTGTGTAGTATGTATGTAGTTTGTATGTGGTGTGTGTGTGGTGTGTGTAGTGTGTTACCTGTGAAATGTGTGTGTAGTGTGTTATGTGTAGTGTGTGTAGTTTGTGTGTGGCGTGTGTGCAGTGTGTGTGAGATATGTGTAATGTGTTGCGTGTGTAGTGTGTATGTAGTTTGTGTGTGGTATGTGTGCAGTGTGTGCTTTGTGTGTGTAGTGTGTATGTAGTTTGTGTGTGTGTGGTGTGTGTGACATGTGTAGTGTGCATGTGGTTGTGTGGTGTGTTTTGTGTGTGTTTTGTATGTGTAGTGTGTAGTGTAGCATGTGTTGTGTATATTATGGTGTGTGTGGTGTGTATGTAGTTTGTGATATGTGTGTAGTATGTGTGATGTGTGTAGTGTGTAGTGTGTGGTGTGCATGTAGTTTGTATTGTGTGTAGTGTGTATGTAATTTGTGTGTGTTGTGTGTGCAGTGTGTGATGTGTGTAGTGTATGTGATATGTGTATTGTGCATGTAGTGGTGTGTGTTTCGTGTATGCTTTGTGTGTGTAGTGTGTATGTAGTGTAGTGTGTGATGTGTGTAGTGTGTTTTGTGTGTGTGGTGTGTGTGCAGTTTGTGTGTTTGGTGTGTGTGATGCGTATAGTGTGCGTGTAGGGCATGGTGTGTGTGTAGTGCAGGTGTGGTATGTGTTCGTAGTGTGTGTGGCGTGCATGTGGGATGCATGTGGTATGGGGGGTGTGTGTGTGTGTGTGTGGACCATGAGGGGCATGCACTTTGTTCTCTGGATGAATGGATGGAGTCATCTAGATAATTTTCCATTCATGACGAGCCCCTTTTGGTTAAAATGTGCCTTGTTGGATACTTTTGGGGCTGGCAATATGTATCCTTCTCATTTACAACTATGATTGAGAGGAAATACTCTCCATGTTAAATATGCATTGGCCGCCTTCCTTTTTGCTTCTGAAATGTATTTATTTACTGCAAGCAGTGTCTCTCCTATGTCAGATGTCCTCGTGGCCTGGGAACAGGCACTATCTCTTTAACACGAGCGCTGCAGATGGGAAGTGGAGTTGCCCAGGAAGTGGTCTGGAGAAGTGGGGAGAGGACAGCCTATGGGCCCCAGGCCTCGGGAGCTGGGAGGGTGTCACTCTTCATGTCTCAGGCAGTGGCTTGTTGCTGTCATAGCCCTGGGCTGAAGGTGGGAAGGCCTTGTGGTGACCGCAAGTCACAGTTCCGTGTGGGCCCTCAACGTGGCCTCACTTCACCTCTGGGGCTCAGCACCAGCATGTGACTGACTGCTCCAGGCAGAGTCTGGCAGCCCAGGTGGGTCAGGTGGTGGTAGCGTCCTCCTTGGACGCTGTGATGAGGAGCGGGACTTCTCTAACGTTGTCTGGACTCAGCAGGAGCAGGTGGTTTGTGCTTATGTAGACTCTGCCTCCTGTGTGCGCTGGGACCCTTAGGGTCAGCCCGAGAGTCCTGTTTTGCAATAGCCCTTCTGTTTGCTTCTCTTTGTGGCATGTTTATTTTTAGAATTCTTTGTCCTTCCCCACCCCGCCGACAAAAAAATAATTATTTAATTTGGTCACTTCCATCAAATACTCTGATTTTAGCTTAGTTAGAAGGCATGCTGGAAACTGTAATGATGTGAACAGAAAGACAACTGTGTGTTGGGAGGGCCAAAGAGGGAAGTGTCTGTTCAGAGCTGGAAGGGTTTGTCTCCGCTTTGAAAGAGTTTGAGTGGTTTTAGCAAATGTTCCCTGCCACGTGGGTTCCTCACCAAAGTTCTCTGTCTCTGTCTTGCCCAGGTGGACACCTGCGTAGGCGTGTGCCCTCCGGCCTCTGAAGCATGGCGAGCAGCGGCATGGCTGACAACGCCAACCACCTGCCCTTCTTTTTCGGCAACATCACCCGGGAGGAGGCAGAAGATTACCTGGTCCAGGGGGGCATGAGCGATGGGCTCTATTTGCTGCGCCAGAGCCGCAACTACCTGGGCGGCTTCGCCCTGTCCGTGGCGCACGGGAGGAAGGCACACCACTACACCATCGAGCGGGAGCTGAACGGCACCTACGCCATCGCCGGCGGCAGGACCCACGCCAGCCCCGCCGACCTCTGCCACTACCACTCGCAGGAGTCTGATGGCCTGGTCTGCCTCCTGAAGAAGCCCTTCAACCGGCCCCAGGGGGTGCAGCCCAAGACTGGGCCCTTTGAGGACTTGAAGGAAAACCTCATCAGGGAATATGTGAAGCAGACATGGAACCTGCAGGTGCGCCACAGCTGGTCCTGCTCCCTGGACCCAGGGGGCCCTGTGACCCCACACAGACTTCCTGGCTACATGCAACACCTATGCCTATGTACCCTGTGTGCCCAAATAACACAACCACCTCCTGAAGCATCAACTTTGGCCAAAAAGTGCCTCTCTCTAATACGAGTCTTTCCCCTTTCACAGCCACAGCTGAGAGGGTGGGCCCCTTTGTGCCAGCAATGTGAGTTTCTCCACCACAGGGAACCACGTTACCCAGTGCATGGAGGGCCTTTTCAGAGAGGCATTGATAGGTGTTGATTGGTTTCTATTTATCTGACAAGGTCCTACTAGACACACTGATAGGCACTTGATTTTATGGCTTCCTAATATCTCTTGCAGAACTTTCTGTGTCAACACTCATGAAGCTGCATCACCTGTTCTTTGGCTATCTGGTGTCACCTGCTATGCACCGTAATTTATTTAATTAGTACCTATTGATGAACACATTTGCTGTTTATGAATAAACGCTGCTAACAACATTGCTTTAGACCTATCGTATACTATGCTCATATGCAATGTCTGCAGGATAAACTTTGAAAGGGTTGGGATTGCCACAGCAAAGGATATGTATGTTTTATTTTATTTTATTTTTTATTTTTTGAGACAGAGTCTTGCTCTGTCACCCAGGCTGGAGTGCAGTGGCATGATCTCAGCTCAATGCAACCTCTGCCTCGCAGGTTCAAGCGATTCTTCTGCCTCAGCCTCTCAAGTAGCTGGGATTATAGGCATGTGCCACCACACCTGGCTAATTTTTGTATTTTTAGTAGAGATGGAGTTTCACCATGCTGGCCAGGCTGGTCTCGAACTCCTGACCTCAAATGATCCACCCACCTTGGCCTCCCAAAATGCTGGCATTACAAGTGTGAACCACCGTGCCTAGCCATATTCTTTTTATTTATACACTTGAAAGTACTTAAGTAATGTGTAAAGATCTTTCTGGTTTTATTTACTGCATGAATGAGTGAATAAGGTTTGATCCTGTTTTACCATGCCAGGACTCGAGACAGACTGGAAATGCCTTCTGCATCATTTTCATTTTTCCTCGGTGTGGTTTACTCTGCTCTGCTCTCCACGTGGCAGGGTCAGGCTCTGGAGCAGGCCATCATCAGCCAGAAGCCTCAGCTGGAGAAGCTGATCGCCACCACAGCCCATGAAAAAATGCCTTGGTTCCATGGAAAAATCTCTCGAGAAGAGTCTGAGCAAATTGTCCTGATAGGATCAAAGACAAACGGAAAGTTCCTGTGAGTATTGTGCCTTCCCCCTCACCTCCTGCCACCAGGCCTGTGGGGACAATTGGGAATAATTCAGCTTCCCTGTGACTGGCCTCACATGACCCTGGGAAGAGGCCATACATTGTCGTTTGACAACATGCATGCTGGCCTGTCCTAAAGACATTTCTAACTAAAGCTATCACCTGTGACCCAGTGTTTATTTTGCCCAGTCTAACTCTAAAATGAACACTCTTTTTGGGCACCGAGGGACACAACGTTTAAAGAAAATGTGATTCAGCCCCATATTCTCCTTTTAATGGCAAATTATAGGATGCATAGCAAATTCTGTGGTTATCCAACTGAAATTAAAATACTGCAGTTTTTTTCACTCAAACTACCCCCTTGATCTCAGACTTTACTTCTATTTTTACATGAAACAAGATGCTAACACGAAAGATGTTCAGGAAAGTTTCCTGGGAGTAATGTCCATGAGTGGTGAGTGCGGGTTTGTGGGCTTCAGCCTTAGGCCCACAATCATTAGAGGGTCTGTCTGAATCTTGGGTTCTGTTTGTTATCCTCACTGGTTCAATGTAAATCTAAATTGTAGAAGGTTCTGAGATACAGGCCAACGTGGTCAGTCAGTTGTCCAGAGAAGGTAAAGAACTGTCTTTGGGAGATGTCAACCTTGTTCCTTCGAGGGTGCCTGGTCAAGGTGGCTCAGTGGGGCGGTTGTCTCTGGGGGAAATGATCCCCTGGTCACCTCTCAGTGTCCTTACAGAGGTGCTTACCTTGGAAGCATAACCAGAACCAGCGATGCAGCCTCATGGTTTGGCAATTGGCGAATCCCCAGCTGACTTTGTAAACTTTTCCTGGATTTAGAAGTGTTTTCTTTGCATGTCCATCTAGTCAAAGGAATTTCCTCAGACTTGACTGTCATACCTTGTATTTCAAAAATGATCTTAGCTGAGTGCAGTGGCACGCACCTGTAGTCCCAGCTACTCCTGGCAAGAGGATCACTTGATCCTCACTGTGATCTCACTATGGTTTGAGGCTGGTTTGAGACCAGCCTGGGCAACATAGTGAGACCCTGTCTCAAAAGAAGGAAAAAAGAAGAGAAAAGAAATTGACCACAATACTATTAAAAAAAAAAAAAAAAAGAAGAAGGAAGAGTGGCCCAGGTTGCCACGCGGCGGTGCCTACAGCGATAGTCTTTATTGGGATGCAGCCCCATGCAGCAGCAGAACGCTGTGGGGAGGGAAGACATTGCCCCTCACTGGAGGCACCTATGGCTGTTTTTGCTGAGGTTTGGCCTCTTACCATCTTCTCAGCAATAATTTCCAACATGAATGTCATGGAGCCATGCACATAGCATCTTGGCATGTGAAGTCAGCCCAAAATAGCATAATCCGCACGATGAGGTTGGCCAGCTTCCTGCTGGTTAAGAAGCCTGGTCATAGTCTCTTCAGCCACGAAGCCATTTCTTTATTCAGAGTTGTCTGTTCCTGAAAACAGTAGTTGCACCCTTCATGGCCATGACTTCTGCTCTCTCCTTCCTTTCCAGGGGACGTGTATAAACCCCATGCGGAAGGCTGGGAGGTAAAGCTCTCATTTGCCGAACATACCTTGTTCTCTATCTGCCCTGTGCAGACTGACATCTCATGTGTCCTCACAGCACATGCACCTGACACTGGGGCTTATGGTTTACGCAAGAGAGTCTCAAACTTGCTGTGCTTCCTATTCAGCTGGAGTCAGAGCTAACCAGGCATGGGCCTGTGGGAAAGGAGTCTGGGCTTCTGCATTTTCACCAAGCGCCCCTCCTTAGCTGTCCTCTTCTCCTGGGTTCCTGTTCTACCTTATATTGCAGTTGCCCAGTTATCACCCCATAATCGCCAACCTCCCAGATAATAGCTTCCAAGGCTTTCTCCCTTGTGTTGTCCACAGCTCAGTCCCCCACCTTCCTGTGCTCCCTTCACACCTGCAGGGCTCACCTGTGGACTGGCAGTGCATAGCACCCCATGCCCAGGCCTGGCATCAGGCAGGGTATTAGTGAGAGCGAAGAGTAGAGCTAAACCTGAGCAGCAAGACCTAGCTTCAGAACCCATGTTCCCATGATGGTTGAAGAACCTTAGGCCAAGGGGAACTTTCCCCAGGCTCTGCTCCTCTGGGTCTGTGACCGTCTTGAGGATTCAGTGAAAACGCACACCATGTACACAGCACAGTACATGTGGTCATCACCAGTGTAGCTTTTCTTCTCTCTTCAATGCTCTTTCTCCATCATGAGAACCAGGAAAGTCTCCTTGTCAGGGTATCTTACGGTGTTTTTAACAGAGAAAATGTGAGGAAATATCCTGGAAGGCTTTACCACCTGGCAATTTCACCTCGTGGCAACCTTTCATCTCCTACAGAACCTGGCTGGGGTTCTTAGCTATTGCCAAGTGTGTAAACCTTCCTTGTTGCAGTGTAGGGGGTGTGTTATCCTGTGAGTGTTTGAATATGGTTGTGTATGCTTGTGGAGAGCATGGAGAATTTGCCACTGTACTGAATACAGTCCAAATCTACCATGCTTCCAGCATGGGGCACAGTGTGCATCCCTGAATGCAATGTCTCCCAAGTCCAGGTTGCCTAGATGTTGGTCCAGATTCTTTCATCTCTGGAAGTGTTTCTTTGTGTGTTTCTTTCATGGGAAATAGAGCTAAAAGCCTCCAGGGAACTCTTGTGAACCATCACCAGATGCTGTGGCTGCCCTTTCGGTGTGAGTGCGTCAGCTCCTGATCCACTGCGGGAGTCTGTCCTTTACTCCCCTGTGGGGTCAGGCCAACGCTGCAGGAAGTCCCAGACCTGGTTTTGAATCATCCAAATCTGCCCTACTTGCAGACAGTTTTATAAAAGTCCATTATTTGCAACGAATAGCCACAGCACAAGGTCTTTGGAGTGAGAACTAGATTCCAGTCACTGCTGGATGTCCTCACTGAGCCAGCGGCTGTTTTTTTCCCACCGTTCTTCTTGGGCCCTCATTCAGATTCTCCTAAAGAATGTGCCCATGTCTACTTTCCAACCATCATATCAGCTAATCCATCCATGGACCAACGTTACTGGAGTCTGTAGTTGCTTGAAGCACTAAGTGCCAGGCACCATTCTGGACTTTGGGAAGGGAGAAGTCAATCAGCAAGCCCCTGCCCTCGTGGAGCCTGCATTTCAGTGGGAGAAAGGACACTGAACAATGGGAAAGACTGCATTTAAGTAAGGGTGTAGAGCGTACTGGGGTCGGGATGCTGGGGCTTGTTTCTGCTGCGTGGAGAGGATGGGCCTTGCTGTGAGGGAGGCCACTGAGAAGAGGCCTGAAGGCAGCGAGGAAACATCCCTGCCCAGGGAATGGCACATTCAAATGCCCTGTGGAAGGAGTGTGCCTGGGGACCTGGGCACCCACAAAGGCCAGTGTCACTGGCACAGAGTGAATGGAGAAGGGTGGAGTTGGGGGCCAGGTTGCAGAGCACTCACGGCACTGGGAGGACCCTACTTTGGGCGAGTTGGGGGGCTGTCTTTAGGAAGCAAAGGGCCAGGGTCAGCTGACATTCGGTGGGCTCTGCCTGTCTACACCGGTTTGCTGTAGGGAGGTGTGCGTGTTCATGTATTTGCAAACCAAATGTGTTGATTTCTTCATCGTGATTTCAGGGCCTTCACTTTCTCATGCCTGAGCATCAGTCAGTTTGTCTCCGTTCTGATCTACTGTCCACCCCACCCACTGTGCTTTGACCTGGGTCCTGTACAGGCCTGTGGGCTGGCCCTTAGGAGGTGTTCAATGAATGCCTGTCGCCTAAATCAATGAATTGTTTGGACCCATTCTCCATCTCCCTGCTCGTTTTTGCTTTCCACTTCCTGACATGTAGTAATACCACTGCAGTTCTGTGTGGGGACAGCCCCACACCTGTCTGTGTTGGGGAAGGAATGGGGATTCTTGCACCTTTCTACCTCCTCTTAAATCATTACTGATGGACAGATGCAGGGACACAGCAATAGATATAGAAATATAAAAACATGACACTGTGCACTCCATGGTTTGTAAGATTTGCTTTCTCTGGGTAGGAGGCCGTGTGGACTGTTAACAACATATCGTTCGGGTTGCCTGGCCCCAAATGCTGGCTCCACCATATCACCAGCTATGGGACCTTGAGCAACTTACTCAGTGATCTGTCTCCTTCATTTCTTTGTCTGTAAAATAGCTTTATTGTCTGTAAAATAGCTTTAATGTCATCTCTGACTCTCAGAGTCATTCAGGGTTATAGAGTATCATAAACTGAAGGCCCTCTGCATGGTGCTTGGCACTGAATGAAGCAACTTCATCCCCCTCCCGCTACAGTGACCTGGAGTACACTTGGATGCATCAGTAACATACACTGAATGTCAGGTCCTCCATGCAAACTCTTCCCGTCCCTGCATCACAGGTGTACCGTGGCCTCTGCAGGTGAGTCATTCTTCTGCAGGTGGGAAAACCAGGCAGGTCTCCCTTATCCTTCCCTTCTGTTCTTCAGTCTGCCGTAGGTGTTTATTTCCACTCTGTGGCTGTGAATATATACAGTGAGAGTCACTGTCTGGCCATAAAAGGATTCACACTAAGCTTTTGCTTTTATGAAGTGACAGACTTAAATAAAGAATAATTATTTCTGCCAGGCACGGTGGCTCACGCCTGTAATCCCAGCACTTTGGGAGGCAGAGGCGGGCGATCACACGGTCAAGATATCGAGACCATCCTGACTAACATGGTGAAACCCTGTCTCTACTAACAATACAAGAATTAGCTGGATGTAGTGACGCGTGCCTGTAGTCCCAGCTACTCAGGAGAATGAGGCAGGAGAATTGCTTGAACCCAGGAGGCGGAGGTTGCAGTGAGCCGAGATCACACCACTGCACTCCAGCCTGGGCAACAGAGCAAGACTCTATCTCAAAAAAAAAATTATTATTATTTCACAGAGGGGGTTGGAAGTTTATTTTTGCATTGCAAGCCATAAACTAACAGGATTTTACTAGTTTGG